CAGTTTTTTAGAGTCATAAAGGGCCCAGTTCTCCTTTCACTAATCAACTTAGTCAGAAGTAACTCCAAACAAGTCAATGTAGTTATACCAGTATAAAACTAGTTTGAAATCACATTCAGCCTTGACATAGCTAAGCAGAGTACTTTACTGAAATAGTTATGTAGTTGCATAACATATTTCTATTTTTTCCACTAATATTAGCATTATGAAAGCTAAACCAATGAAATCTTACCGTCTTCTCTTTGAGCATCTTGGTTGAATCTCAGTGATCTAGAAGCATCCCACTTATTCTGCTGCATACTCACACTGGTAAAAAGAGACAAACAAAAGTGTTGTCGTCAGTAATATTTTACTAAGCAAGATGTTTCAACCAGGACTTGGGAGAAATACTTACATGAATGGAGATGCATCTCGAGAATTTGACTGTCAAAAAAACAGAAAAATGCATTCATGAATACATTTAAGACCAGCTGCAAAAATTAAAGTAAAATTCCTCATTAGACTGACTGAGTTGAATAGTCCATTTCACAACTCAGATTTACCTTCTCCATTGGTTTCTCCTTTTTTTGAACACTAGGTGAAGAAACTTGTTTCTTTGGATGTTTGATTAACTTCTTTGGCTTTTCTTTTCTCCCTGTTAATTAAAATAGTTGAGGATTATATTTGCTACTAAATATTTAAAACATTTAAAAAAAAAATCACACTGGTTGAGCATAGGGACTTCCACATTCCTACACACATGAGACATTGACCTGGATATTTTCCCTCCTTGGTAAAGCTATGGGGTGGATAATGATAAAATGGGACCAACATCCACAAAGCACAAAGGCAAAACCCACTCACATGCTTCCCCTAAGAAGCATGCATGAGCTGAAGTTTACAGTGCAAAGAAATTATATGTAATACATACACTTCCTATTGTAAATATAATGTAAACATGCATACACTTAATACATCCCTAAAAATGCAAGTATGGACCAAAAAAAGTCTTGATGATATTAGAATGCTTTCTGAAGTTTTCACTCTGGACATTCTCTGTCCTGTGCAGACTGATTGCTCCAACCCCTTCTGTCTCCTTTCCTTCCTTCGTGTTTCCATCTAGTTAATTTCCTCCTGTCATATCCCACCAAAAGGATTTAAACAACATAAAAAAACTGTGGTCCTAAACATGCCAACTACCAGACATCAAACTCTTCACTCTGCTTGTATGTTATACCCCTTTTCCCACCCTTTGTCTTGTCTATTTAGATTGTTAGCTCTTTGGAGGAAGGGGCAGATTTTATTCTATGTTTGTACAGAGTTTAGTACAACAGGGCACCAATCTCAGTTGACCCTTAGGCAACACTATAATAAGCACAATGAACACCACACCTCACTAATTTCTGGAAGATCCGTTGCAAGTTGAAGAATTCTGTGAATTAGTTGAATGATCAAAGAAGTCTCAAGGGTAATGTAATTTGGCATTTTTTCCTGACATGTAATTTAGTTAAAACTAACACTTCATTGTTTACTAGCAAATGTTCTACTATGTGATTTGTAAAAATCTTACTACTGCACTCTAGAATTTTTGCTTAACAGATTACCTGTTTCCTGATTGAGAATTAGCAAGGTTCTGTTTGAGAGAATGTATATTATACATGCACTATATATAAAAAAATATATATATATCAACTGAATTTTACAAGAGTTCTGCATCATTTTTACATTAAAACTTCACTCACTACATCTCCCTTGTTTTGGGGGTTTCTTCCTTCTCTATCCCCCATTTAAAATTTCTCTCTCTCTACTTTTCTTCTGTTGTATATCTTGGCTATTTTTTCCATGTGTCTTTTTCAGTTGCTTTTCCCCATACTATATAATATTCTACCATGTTTAGTTTCCTTTTCTCCAAGGACATCACTTCTCAAGAAGCACTTTTCTGATTTTGCCTCTCTCTCTCTCTCTCTCTCTCTCCACACCAGTCTCCATGCTCCTCTCTACCCCCATCCTCACCATTCCAAGAACAGCAGAAAGTTCTTGGCCCTAAGAGCCCTCCCTCCTCTTTCCCAAAATCCCTCACTCTTCCACCCACCCAACTTGAAATCAAGGCCCTTCTTCACATCTGTCCTGATGGAAACTAAGAGCTACATACCTCCCTCTGGATTTCCTGCCTTGTCTCCTGCTTGGGTGGCCAGGGGAGTGGCCAGCCCTGCAGCACTTACTTCCTGCAGGCCACGTTAGGCCTTTGTATGTATGAGAGAGACTGCAAGTTAGGGCAGGAGTGCTGCCAGCTTTTCTGCCGCCCTAGGCGGCGGAAGGTCCCGCCCCGAAATGCCGGCCCCCACAGAGGCGGCAGAAGGTCCTGCCATCGAAATACCGCCGTGATCGCCGCCCCCCAAATTGTAGTGCCTTAGGCGACCGCCTAGGTCACCTAATGGGTTGCGCTGGCCCTGAGTTAGGGGGAAGAATCAGTGCAATCTTAGGAGAATTGACACAGCCTGCCTTTCACTTCTGGTCCTTACCATCAATAACCAGTGTTTGCAAATGAAGGAGTGGGACCCTACAAATGCTGCTGTAGAGGACACAGCCACATGGCTAGTAACCTGAGGCCCCACTTCTGCAACATTAATCTAGGAGGTGACAGGAGGAATAAAACTGCTCTGATAGCAGCCCTTCCAAGAAAGGGAACAGACCATACAGAATATAGCTTTAATCTGTCTCATACGTATGAGAACATTGGATATGTGTACTTTCCTATTTGTGAGTGTTTACTGCTGGAGCTGATGACTGGAAGAACACAGGTAAATCTGTGTATCTAATATATGTCTCAGAGAAAAAAAATAAAAATATAAATTCAAGTGAGACATTTTGTGATAGGGTTTATTTTATTTATTTCTATTTGAAGTTCTTTTACCAAAAAGAAAACTTCTGCCTTGTATTCTAATCCCTAATTACCAATAAAGGATTCTTGTAATAACAAACAGATAATTGTACCTGGTTTCTTGTATACTTCCTCTTCATCCCCCACTTCATCCTCAGTGACCTCTGAGCCAGTGGTATACTCGTCCTCTTCTGATAGCAATGACTGTTGTTTCTAAGCAACAGGAATAAAGTACCACTAAAGGTCACTATCTCCTCAAACTCTACAGGTTTTCCATATCATTACATTTTTTTGTTGTAGTTAAACAAGGCCGAGTGCCAGCTATTTTTGTTAAACTAGTTTCCAGACTTTTTTTTTAGCTAATAGACAAGTTTCACATATTTCCAACAGCATATTGTTACGTTTGCAGGCTTCCTTGCCTACGTGTTTTACATGTACTGGGTTCTGACCTTAGTCTAGAAGTCAGGGAGAACAGCAACAATGCAACCTGCTCTGCCCTGGGGTGAGCATCCCTGGTGTGAAACTGCTCAAATGATGTAGGATTGTGTTGGATAAGTTGCACTGGCCTGTGCCCATAGAGGTGATTCAAAATCAGCATGTTTGAAGGTCATCATAGAGGCAAATGGCAGAAGGTACCCACACTCTTCATTTCATTAGGTTATATTATCCTCTCTGTATTTTGCAATCAAAGACCTTTGTGGCAGTGACCTTTTTAACTATGTTTGTACAGCGCCCAACATAGCTGAGCTCCAATTGCTACTGTAAGACAAATTAATAAGCGAGATACAATGTTGCTTTCACTAATTTGTGCACCACACATAAAAAGAGGTACTCATCAAGCACCACACACTATGCTCCTGTATGGAGCTATATACATTTGTTTTTATATGTTGGGCCAGATCCTCAGCTCTGAGACAGACTTTTTCACTAATGGAGCAATACAAAGGGGCCCCCAAATTAGCTTAATCAGATTCCAACCAATTCTCCTACCGCATATCCAACTCTATGCCACCCCCTTTACAAGCCCCAGCACAGGCAACATACTGGGATGTGACTGGATCACTGCTGCTTTCTGGCTTGGCAGCAACGCAGGATTGAGCCTATATTTCCAAGAATGACTAGTGATCCTGGGGTACCCCAGCTGATGCACTTTAAAAAACCCTGCTTTTTGGAGGGTAGGTGCTCAGTACTTTCTGAAAAATCAGGCCCATATAAAGATGTCTCAAGCAGGGCACCCAAGTCATTAGTTATTTTTGAAAGTTTAGGCCATTGTTCTGAGGACAATGCAGTGTGGAAGACTGATGTTTGCCTGTTATTTATAAAGTGAATTAAAATAAGAAAATTTAATTCTTTTAAAATTAGTCCATAACAAACCCTGCTCCGCTGTGGAATAAAAAAAAGATATATATATTGTTTTCCTTTTTTAAAAGAGTACTCTTATTGTAGTTAGAAAGTTTGCTGTAGGATCTTATTTTGGAACTTCAATCTCAGAGTCCTATTAAATTAAGTATGCCAGCACCAGCACTTTCAACTGTGAATCCCCTGTCTATGACAATGAATAGCAAAGGATACTCAGCAATAATAGGAAGGAAGAAAATTTACAGGACTACAGCCTCCTAAAGATTTCATTGTAATATTTGGGGAAAAAGATTAAGGTATTTTTAAACAAGAGATTGATTAAATTAATGTTTAACCTCCAGATCTGCTACACTTATAAAGCAGCAATTACTGTAGCATCTCCACATATATAGTGTTTAGATCTCACACTGAAATATGAGTTATTCTATAATTTAAAAATTAAAGCAGAAATAGGAAAAATGGCAGTGACATCAAGGTTATTTGTTAACATAAAAGAGCAACAAACATTTTAAACACATTAAAATTTAAAGCAGGATGAACTAGTTATTTTACTAACCAGCTGTAGAGTCCAGTTTTTCAGAGAAAGAAACTAGAAACAAAAGGCGGAGAAATGGTCAAGTTAATACACTGTGAAACAAAGTAAGAGATTCAAATGGATTTATAAAAAAACAATAGGTATTTGTTCTAGTAAAGTACATCCTGGATTCTGCAAGGAGTTGTTCACATTTAACTTTATATATGTGAGTAGCCCCACTGAAATTTTACTTAGGTGTGTAAAGTTAAGCACGTGCATAAATCTGAATTAGTATTCAATTAAATGTAGACATAGTACATTTAAAGTCTTAGGTAAATCACCTTAGAATTTGCTTGAATACCTAAAGCTATGTAGCCAGTAATAAACACTTACATTATAGTAGCAACAACCTGAGTTAACCACAAGATTCTGTCTAGGCCAGCATTTGCAAACATTTGTTCCAGTACACATTTGTGGTTTTCTCTAGGCTGAGTCTTACTGCTACTGGGAGTTCGAGGCTAACTGTCTGGAACTGCAGTGTTATTCAGCGGTCATGGACTGCAGTGCATGAAGACTGCAAAAATACAACAGACTGCAGAGGTTCTCTTTATACCATGGTTAGCATTATTAATGATCTATCCCAACTTGGCTTAAAGTGCACTGGTGTAATGTTGGAGTTGATTCATTGGTAGGAAAGAGCTGTGTTGTGTGTTACTGGGAGAAGTAATCTAGTCTATCAACAGAGGAATGGACCAATGACCTTGATATCTGTTTTCCCTTGGAAAAGGCGGTTTACGCAATAAGAGGCTCTTCTGGGGACATATGAAAATACACAAGTCCTATATGGGGGTTTTAACATGTACCATTGGTACTGAAGTACTCAGTAGCTTACAAAATATCAAGTCGTGTGCTTTGTGACAAGCATGATGAGGAGGTGGTGGTTAGGACGGTAATTATGTTTTATAAAAGTATTTTATCTATTTTAAATGTTATGCTTAATATGGGTCTTTTAAAAATCTTTGTTGATGTTCAATGCAATTTCCAATAAACGTAAATAAAACAAACAAAAAATACAGGCAGACCAACCAGGGAAAGGAAGTCTAAAGCTAAGAGGCCTTAATGGTGAATGCCCTGCCAGCAGCCCCACCTCACTTAATAATATAGACCTAGCTCTTATATAGCACTTTTCATCAGTAGATCTCCAAGCACTTTATAAAGTTTAAAGTGAGGGGCTTCAACTTGAGGAACTCTTCTGATCTCAAATGTGGCATAACGAGACATGGCAGCCTCTCAAGTACCCAGATTTCAATTCACTTAGCGTTATACATACCACTTTGAGCACACTGAGAAGACAGCACTTGTGTAACAGGTTTTCTACATGATTCACTTCTTATTAAGAGGATTGTGGGGTTCCTAACTAGCTTCAGTTTCTGAATGGTCTCTATGGTGTAGATATGTGGGCATTAATTGATTTTAACAGCTTTTGTTTAAAGAAAAAACCTCCCTGTTCCCCACTAAACCCACATTTTGGCCCTAAATTAGTGGGTAATGTCCCTGAAACCTAGGTTTTAGATTAACTAAGTTAGGGTTTGGTTTTTTGTTAGTTATTTTTAAGATAGCAGTAGGTCTCGATTGGATGAGTTTTCTAAGCATCCACTACAGTCATTAACAGAGAGAAAACAACAAAACAAAAGCAGCAATTACTCACAGCATTGATTTCTCCAGTTTTTGGGCCCCACGGTGTATTTGGTTCTAACAGCACATCACATTCAATCCCTCTCTCATCACACAGCCCAATCCCAGAATCACTATAAGGAAGAAATGTTCATGAAGTATAAGATAATGATAGTTTTTCTATTTTACAAAGCTTAGAATCTGACCTTTTTTCCTCCCCATTGTGCTATGGATAATCTGCAGAACAGCTACATGGCTAGTGTTTTGAGAAGTACCTATATGAAAATATGAATAGAGGCAAGATTGAACTGTTACGAAGATAGAATTGTTTCACACGTCTGCTTGAAATGCGACAGATAGCAATATTTCTGTTTCTTGTCCCAATTTCTAATTAAAATACTGGAAATATATTAGTTAAGTTTTAAAAATTCCACTACATTGTCTGTTTAGAAGAGGGGAAAAAATCAAATGTAAAATTTACTCAAGTGCTAATGTCAAATGTTAAGTAATTTTAGTAGCTTTAATTCAATTTTCTCACCTATTCTGATCTTTAGAAAAAGGTACAACAACAACATCTCTATGCTGAAGCAGATCATTCAATATTTTAGTAGTTTGATATGGCAGAGTATCCCCACCTTCACCTCCAGCCGGTAAACCGATCACATGATCCCGCACTTTACAGCCCTGTCATAAAAGAGAGAGACTATGTTAGATATATTGGCTTACGACAAAAACTCATTTCACTAAGTACTGCACCGAGGGATTCCATATTCTAAGAACTCTCAGAACTTTCCCAGTCCTTAGCACTAGGCATCTTCCACAGGACACAGAGCTATATACAACTCACTGTGTGTTTCAATTGATGGGCCTGACCCCACTCCAACTAAAGTTAAATGGGAACTTCATTTTTAAACTCCCTGAGAAGCAGAACTTGGTCCAAGAGGATAGTTCCTTTTGTGCTTATTGGCCCATTCAACATGCCTGCCAGGGAACATATGATACACTGTGAATAGACTCAGCATACTGTACTCCCCCAGAGCAGCAGAGAAGACAGAAGGCCTGCAAGCAGTCAGTCAATCTCCCTCCTGGGCTGCTGCCCCTGACTTCAGGGAGGATCTTTACATCATGATCCAGCCCTATGCTGAGTCATTGCTAAAAGTGAAACATTAAAGTAGTACCTTTGGAAGTGGAGTAGGATCAAATCGAAGAATTTTTTGGTTACAGCAGGGATATATTCCAGTGCCAGATGTACCCAATGCGCTTGCCACACCGGGATAAAGAACTGGCTGTGCATGGTACTGGCAGTGAGAAAATTCAGTACATAGGAAAGACTATATAAAAAAGAAAGATGACAGGAAATAATATTCTGTCTAGTCACATGTTGCCTGTCAAAGTCAGAATTTTGGAGTACATTAGATATACATCAATTATTTACTTCTTACAGAAAGCTATGAGTCTCATATTCAAACCTGGTCAGAGATTAGTCCTAATTTAGTCATACTGTTTTCATTTAAAATTCAGATATTCCAGTACAAGCTCATTTCCCATTTTTTTTCTGGCTACCTGAATTGTATTTGGGCAGAGCACAAAGGAGTTTAAAAAGTTACAGCAACAGCTGCTCCGTAGTTTTCATAACAAATCCCATTATGATTTCCCACTCTAGAAGCTATGGGGAAAAAAAGTCTTATTGGTCTCAAAATTGGTAGATTAAGTTTGGGGAAGAGGAAGGTATTTTTCTACCAAAATGAGGCCATCTGGAAAAAGAGTTCTTAATTATGAGTTAAAGCACAACCCCTCTCCATCCACCCACAAAATTATTATGTTGGTTTTGTTCCCATGCTGCCACAAAACAAGTGAGTGAAAACAAGAATACCCACTTGATTACATCTTGAACAACTCAGCCAATTGATAATCCCCCAGAGGCGCCAGTACACATCTCGCCAAGATTTTAATTCCTCATAAAGACTGATCAAGTATTCATGGACTTCCCAAGTTTTATCTCTGTAATAAAAGGTGCACAGTGAGGCTGCACATTATATTGTGAAGAGATTTTAGTCCTATATTTGTATCAATGAAGTTTGCAGAGAAAAAGCAAGGTGGAGGTAGGAGAACAACACACCTTCACAGAAGAGCTACTATAGCAAGAACATGTTATAGGACAATCAGCATTAAATTCAGACATCATGCAGCATCCCAAACTATTACCTAGCACCAAGGGCTTTGGACTACACTTATGTTAATACAAGAACAATTTAAGGACACTGCAACTCAGAGACCATTAGACCTTAGAGGGTGCCACCGCCCACCTCAAGCTATGAAAGTCATAAGAACTAGAAATGATGGAAAACTATCAAGTTAGTGCAAGAGCTGTCTGATGGTTAGTAGCAAAGTAAGAGACACAGTGTCTCTGTGGATCTCTTGCTCTCTGGGCTAGTGAACATCTTCCTTAGTATCTAGTGGCAGGGAGGAATTGTATCATTCAAATGTTTGGAGGACATAGGGAGTAGAAGAAATCAAGCACACAAAGGTTGAGGGATATTTTAATCCCTTTGCCATTAGCCTCTGCTGCCGTGGAACACATCCATGTTGTTTTAAATAACGTCATTTCATTCCACTCTCTACACTTCAAATGGCAATGGAACTGGTTCCCAGGACAGCACTAGAAGTGCATTTGTTGCTACATATCAGGGCACAATAGGCAGCAATGAAATGGTTACGTAAAGATTGTAAGTTAGATGACTTCTTGATAAATATGTACTTTTGAGGCTTTAAAAAAAAAGTTTTTAAACTAGACTATACACTATTCTAGCTTAATTTCCTCCCACTGAAAAATGAGAGAGAGACTGACTTTCTTTTAAAACCCAAAAGAGAGTATTTAGCAGTGAGGCAATCTGGTCTGTGAAAGATACAATACTTTTTTTCCACCTTCACGCACTAACTTCATCCTGCCTTGGTTAGATTGTAAAAATCTTGAGGGCAGGGGCCAACTTTTACTCTGTATTTGTACAAAGGCAAACATAATGGGTACTGACACTTAGTGTCACCTCCACACCTATTTTTGTGTAATTGTGCTGCTATGGATATGCTAGCATTAGAGCTACTACTAGTCACCATTAAGCTTAATTTAAGTGTAAGAAAGGCCAAATTAACCGTGCCTAGGAAGGCAGCCAGAAAACAATACAAGGTAAATGCTCAGAAGCAATAAAAGAGGACAGGAGTAACTTTAAGAGGCTGTATGTGTGTGTGTATATATCTATATCTATATCTCTCTCTCACACACACACGGAGTTATGTGGCATCAACATACATACATAAGAATGTAACTAAGGTAAGATAAGGAAGGTATTTAAAATTGGCTAATAAACAATATTCTTAGAATGTCAGGATAAGGCTATGGCCCCAGCTGCCACTTTAGATAGTGCAAGATGGAACCTACTTCACTGCTCTAGTCATCAGTAAAATGGTCCTTTGGATAGAAACCTCTCCCTGTTATTGGAATAACTGACAGGAGATAATAATGCATATTATTTTGAGGGCTGACACTGAACTGCTGTTAGGCTGATTTTAGTCCATCAGATCTGATGAAAAATGATGGAAATTAAATTAGCAACAGTAAAACTGTTAATAAAAGGGAACTAGAGTATGCCGGCCCTCATTAAGCGGAGGCAGGGAAATCCAGCCATATAGGACTGTGCCTGGACTAAAACAAAAACCAAGTAAATACTTGTGGTGAGGAACTAGCCATTTAACAAAGGAGAAGTTTGGAAAGCCTCTCTGACCAAAAAAGCAAAAACAAAAAAACAAAAACAAAAAAACCCCACCACCTTAACCAGTGAAGTTTATTTTTATTTGTTCTGAAACTGGTTGAGTGTTTGATTTGACATCTTCAGATCTGAGACACAGTCAATCCAGACTCTATAGTTCAGAGTGTGGAACCATCACTAACAACTCATTTTGAAATGTAGCCCTTAATTCCATTTGTCTTTGGCTAAACATATTTTCAAGTCCTTAGGATGATTAAGTGATTAGCTCTGAATATTTTACATTTAAAAAGTTTAACCCAGCAAAAACTCCCAGTGATTTCAATTGAGGTCTTGTTGGATTAACAACAATGATATTGTGGAATAAATTGTCAAGTACAACATAGACTTATAGACTTTAAGGTCTAAAGAGACCATCATGATCATCTAGTCTGACCTCCTCTACATTGCAGGCCACAGAACCTCACCCACCGACCCACTCTTGAAATAGAGCCTTAATCTCTGGCTGAATTACTGAATTCCTCAAATCATGATTTAAACTTTAAAGACTTAAAGTTACAGAGGATTCACAATTTACACTAGTTTAAATCTGCAAGTGACCCATGCCCCAGGCTGCAGAGGAAGGTGACAAACCCCCAGGATCTTTGCCAATCTAACCTGGAGGAAAATTGCTTCCTGACCCCAAATATGTGGGGCACTTAGACTCTGAGCATGTGTAGAAGACCCACTGGGCAGATACCTGGGAAAGAATTCTCTGTAGTAACTCAGAGCCCTCCGCGTCTAGTATCCTGTCTCTGGCTGTTGGGGATTTTTGCTACTGGCAGGTGCCGATGGGCCACATGCCATTAGACAGTCCCACATACCATCCCCTCCATAAATTTATCAAGCTCAGTCTTGAAGACAGCTCCCCTTGGAAGGCTGTTCCAGAACTTCACTCCTCTGATGGTTAGAAACTTTCACCTAATTTGAGTCAAAACTTGTTGATGGCCAGTTTATTTCCATTTGTTCATGTGTCCATATTGGCGCCAGGGCTGGCTCTGGCTTTTTTGCCGCCCCAGGCAAAAAAGCCTCCGGCTGCCCCCCGCCCAGCGCGGCAGGGGAGGGCGGCCGGAGCGCCGGGGGGAAGGTGGCGAGCCCGCCGCGGCTCCGCTCTCCCCGGC